ACTGGTTAGATTGGGAACAGCCTGAGAAGTAAAGGCTGGGACAGAGTGGAGCAGTAGTCCTAGAAGATGTTATTAGTCATCTAAAAGCTGGGGCAAGTCACCAGTCAGGGACCAGGGATCCTCTGCTAAAGCAGTCCATGAGTCTGAATTTATCAGGAACCTCTTGTAGATACAACACTGAGAACCTGGGCAAAAATCTTAGGCCTGTTTCTGACCAGCTGTAGATCAGAAAGGTGACAGCTCTTCCCCAGACACTATGAAAGTGGTCTGTTAATTTGCAAGGACAAAATATGAGGTAGGGATTATAAATACCTATATTATCTAATATAGTATAACTTTGTATAGTTGACAAACATTGGTCTGGAGAAAACTTATCTCATCAGGGAAACAGTTGAATAAAACAATATTGTTTGTTGGAGTGGTCTGACATACATTTTTGCCTTCCCTAAGGCAAAGCCAAACTCAGCTAGAAGAAAGTCCATCAGTACTTGCTTTTCCCCTGTTCCTCTCTTTTTGCTTCACTTTTAATTGAAAGGATTTACCAATTAGTGGTGGCAACAGAACTGCAGAAAATCTATCAATCTATCATTTGCCTTGACTATCAAAGGTTAGATGAATTATTATAAGAAGGTTTTCACATGATCAAATCACTCATCTAGAAAGATGTAGATGCAGGCTGGTGTTATAGTGACTGCTTTCTTTAGGTGAGAAACCTCAAGGTATAGCCTTCCTTAAGGGACATACCTGTAAGCACAATAAAATTAAACATAAACATGTTCCCCTACTGGCAGTTCCTCAGCTTTCTAAAGTTTGCAAGATACAGATACAGTGCACAAGGCAGTACACATTGCTAAGCTTCAACAGAAGTTTATTTATAAACTCTGTCTTACAAAGGAGCCTTTCATTCATTAAAAGAAAATCCAAATCTGGAAATCTTATTGTAAACATGTGTTCATTTACATACATTTATTGTATTGAAAGAGAAAGCAAGAAATTATCACTTGCTTGGTCGTAAACATGAGAAAAATTATTTTTTAATGCATTTGTCAATAACTTTTATTTTGAACTTCCAGAAAATGTGGGGAGAAAAAAAGAGAGTGGAAGAAAATGGTTCAGTTTTGAAAGGAAAATTGAGAGAGGGGTTGGTGAGTAAGTGTTAATAGCAGGCCATCCAAAGGTCAGTGAGCTTGATGAATTGAATACTTTTGTATTGGAACAAACCATAGAACTTCTATGCAACCTGGTAGGAACCTCCCTCCATTTGTCCTTGTAAAATGGGAGCTGTGTCTTTGGAGTCATGCCAGAGTGGAACTGCTCATTCATTATTACCACTTAAGGCAAATGATCATAGCCCCGTGGCACATAAAATAATGAGTGTAGCTCCCATTTCTCAGATATGATGCATATATTACGCTTCACATATGGTCAAATGTGTCCTGGCTTTAGGGGAAGGTACAAAAATTACTACAATGAGTAAAGCTTGTAAGGAAGCAATTCAGTGAATAGGAAATTTTGTAATTGGAACCATAGTCAGTGACTAATGCAGAGCAATAGGTATGTTAATGAAATAGGATAGGATTAAAAGACAAAACTAAGTTTAATCAGAAGCCAGCATACATGCTCATGTGAATAATTTTAAATGTATTCTTAATCCTATTAGTTTCATCCTTTCCCTCCACTGAAAACTGAGTGTTTAAATAGTATCTTCCATTTGAATTAAAACAGGCTTCCCTAACTGGTAAGAACTTCACCTCATGTTATTCCTGATATATGTTATGAAAGTTTCTGCATGAAAGGCCTGGCAACAAATGGCACAATAAACCAGCTGTTTTGATGAGATGGCATAGAAAGAATACAGATAGCAGATGAATCTTATGCCACTTCAGTTACCGTGTGCGTGCAGCACTGGGTGGACCCAGCATGGATTTTCCACCAGTGTGCTGTACAGATCCTGTCCAGAGAGAGGGACCTCCCTGCTCCCATGTCATGGTGCCTTTTGTCTTGGGAGCAAACACAGCCATCTATCTGCTCCTGACAAGCTGGAAGGTTCTCTTGGATAACACCAGCACACAGCACAGGCTGCCATCGGGCCTTCCCGGACCAGTAGATCAGACTTACCTTACCCAAGATCGCCACCTCCTTGAGTCCTGTTACTTCCATGAGGCTCCCAACGTAGAGAATATAATATATATGATAATATATCAAAAAAATTTGCAGTGGTTTAATTCACTGTTCTCTTTTATTATGCATATTTTATAATTTCATCATATATTGTGCTGAAACAACTGAAATGCCTGGCTCCAAAATGATACTGCCATTCTGTTTTCGAGATATTTGAAGGTCACTTCTGTAATTGTCAGGGAATTAGTAATTATTTGAATTTGAGTGAATATTTATGAATGCTTGCACATTGCAAAATATTTTGTACCTAGTAATTTTTGCATTAATCTTTCTTTTGTGTGTTCTTGTAAATTATGAAACCTGTTATGCATTAGATGGATTTTACAGATATTTATATTTTATGTATTCATGCTGGGTTTTTTTTTCTGTGATATAAATAGAAAGAAAAATACCAAAAAGGTATATGTGATTTGGGAAATCCCTAGATTCTGGTAATTATTGATCCACAGCAGATGGTTTCATCTGATTAAAAGTGCAGCTGAATGGAGAAGGGAAGCTATATGAAAACAGGTGTCTTTTTTTCATAAAGATTTTCCAGTGTTTTTTTTTTAAATAAAAGTCATTTAGTCCCTGAGTCAAATCACCACAGGTGAGTGGTGTAGCTGGCCAAGAGTTCCCAGTGGAATTTATTTAGTTTCTCCCCATGGAAAGCTGTACAACTTATTGTTCCTGGGAGTTGGATATTTACTCTTCCATAGATCAGTGCCACTAGCAGAGAGTAGTGGGGTAAGTTTCTTGCCTTCATCCTCAGACTCTAAAGGCAGAATTGTTTTTAATATGTTTTTTTTTGTCTTCAGGTGTAAACCCCAAACATATTCTGAATTCTGCCCCTGTTTAAGATTCTACTTTGGCTCTGAAACAATCCAGAAGAAAAAATATTCCCCTTCCATTCCTCTCTATCATGTTGTTGTAATTTGCTTCATAATATACTGTCTCATTTATGTGACAATCTTACACACAAGAAAAGGAAATTCTTTTAAGCTCTTCATTCGAAAATGGTCATTTTCCCTTAGCTGTCTTTCAGAATTCCAAACCTTAAAGACACTTTCAGACATTTATCTATTTTTAGAAGCCTAATCTGTTTGAGTAGCAAACTGTTCTTTGAAGAATTTTGTTAGTGTTTTGTGATGTTTAGAAAAAACCTGTTTCAAGCAGACCAATACTATTACTTGAGACGCTTTTCTCCTATCCAAGTACATGCAAAAGATTTACTTCAGGATCAGACCCTCTTCTAAATTATGTGGAAAGGATTGTTGGGCCAGAGATTTATTATCAAAATTATTCTATTTAAAAAGTGTTGTGTTTCTGTATAGTTGACCCTGCAAAGAATTCTCATACTCATGTGAGATCAGGAGTGGGCAAGGGAAGAATGCAGAACATCTGTTTTTCCACTTCGTCATTTTAGTGCCACCGTTGATTATTTTCTTTGTGGTGTTGTGACAAAGGGTCAGGGAGATGATTGCTTCTTAATAAAAAATCAGCATGTTGAGAATCACCAGTTGGAAACTATTGAGGAGACCAGTAGAAATTCAAACATTATAGTACAGTCTGCAACTTGTTAAATTATATGACATCCAAGTTGGAAGGTATTTTTAATATTGCTCACAAATAAAATAACGCAAAAAAAATTTTTGCAAATTAAGTTCCTTAGAATAAAGTAATGAAAAGGTAGTCCAAGATATTAAGTGATTCAGATTTCCTCTGGGAAAATGTTTATATGAAATTTAATAGGCAGGGATTAGCTTTCTCTTTGTTTAATGAATCATTCTGTATATTTAATAGAAAACTATAATCTTGCTGGAGACTTCTGTGAAATAACCAAGAGAACCAAAAGCAGGTTAATCATTTTCTATTAAGATACTTGGCATTTTTATAGTAATGTTATAAACTGAATTTGACCACTCTGAATCTGTGTAGGATATCTCATCGCTCTGAAAAGAGCTATATATCTTATCAACAAGAAAACTATTTCTTCAGCTCTTATCATGTGCATATCTTGTCAGCAGCATCAGAGTATTGTATTCAATTTAAATTTCACCTGGTGCCCTGGGTGGTCGATGAAGGGGAGCAATTGCCTCTGAAGTTCATCAAAGCTGAGTATCTGAGACACTGCTGTGCTTGTGTGCCACAGTTCTGGCTGCAATTCCTGGTCCCAGAGCCCGGTTCCATGGTCTAGTTGCAGCTGCATAATTTAGCAGCAGCCTCTCTAGAGTAGAGACAGGATAGCTCTGGTTCCCCTCTAGGTCCTCTGTGGTGCTGTGGAAATATATTAAATATTTTATGGTTTGGGGATACTTTGGGTTGGTTTGTTGTTGTTGTTTTCTCTCTGTTATTATTGTGTTACTTTTGTTTTCATTTGAAGGGTTAGTAGTGTTTCAGGATGTTAGAGGGGGACATATTTGGGAACACTTTCTGCAAGTCAGTGATCCTTCTGGTGGATGCTCAGCTGCTGTCTTGGGGAGGGCCAGATCGAAACAAGATAAGGGAGGAAACTATCACTGAGCTTACAGGGATACAGAGATTCAGTGCCTGGATCCAGCTGCCTGGCTCTCCTTTGTTCACAAATGCCTGTGCTAAGTCCTACAAGACTTCAGGCAGACGACTGGAGTTCCTGATTTACAACTCTGGCCACTCTGGTATTTCCAGGAAGTAGCACATCCTAATTAACAACCATATCAAATACTTTTTATTTGCATATAGTTGTGCTACTAGTAGTAAAACCCATGCTATTTGAATAAATGTTCTAAGTGCATTTTTGCTAAAGTTATTCAGTGTTTAATGGGAATGTTTGGTTTTGTCTTTTTTTTCTCCCCCTGCAGCTGTGACTCTGAAAATAGGTATCTTGGAAATCCACTTCGGGGAACATGCTACTGTGAGTACTTTTATTTTTAATGTTACATACTAAAATGTTGGCTACATATTGTGTGATAATTTTGTTTCCTTGGCAGACCAAAATATTTTTCTTGAGATATTCTGAAGTTGGGCACATTGATATTTTGACTGAAAAATGAAATGCCCTGTTGGGCTGCTCTTACTTTGTGCACAGGAATACAAATTCAAGTCTTCTAAAAGTTGGTTCCTAATACCTACCTTAGAGGGACTGACCAAGCCATGGGGTTATTCTCTGTATCTCAACATGTGTGAATGGAAGGAATAGAAATTGTGTCCTTGATTAAAAGACAGAATTTGTGGTAGGGAAATTCAAACAGGCTACACAGCACCATTCCCTGGGGACATTCTGAATGGTTTAACCAGTCTGCCTCCCAGGGACAGGACACACAGCTGCTCTCCACAGCATCATAAAACGATACTGTGTGTTGTCTCCATGTTCTCAGTGTTGAGGAAAAGGTGCCTCTGGCACGTTTGCTGTAGAGCATTACAGTTTTGATAGTCATAGGGAAAGACCTGAAGGGATGAGAGTGGTTATTACCCACGTGCAGAAATCCCTTAGTGAGCTGTGCCAATTTTGCTGTGCCAATATCAGTGTTAAATAGTAATTTTAATCATCATAAAAACAGATGGGATGTTGGAGAACACTATTTTACCTTTTGTGTCTTTTACACATCCCATCTTAATGTCAGACAATTGGATCCATTTGTCTGTTGTTTCTAACATCATTCCGACTTCAAACTTGAATTTATACATAAAGACATATCACTGAACATATTTATAACATCTATTCTGATTTTTGGCCTTGCTTTTTAGCATTTCATTTTAGAGCATGCACAAAAGCTTTACTTTAGAGTATCTTTAAGGCATCATTTACTTAATAAAGGATTGTTTCTTGTCTTTATTAATCTGTCTTTCTCACCCTAAATGGTTTTACAGAATAAAATAGACACATACTGTATTATGGATGCTGATGTATCTCTAGGCCTAAAACATTTATTCCTCTTGCCAGCTATTAAAGAAATTTGGTGTGGGTTGTTTTGATTTTTTTTTCTCTCTCAGACAAGTTAAATTCAAATGTAATACTTTAAACTAGAACATGAATTTTAAATGTTGTAGACCAAGTTGAAAATACTCCCTGGAGCTGTGTCCTAAAGATACTGTTGAAAAATAAAATCAATTTCGTTGGTTTTTTTTTTTTTCTTTTGATAAGATATGCTTCTTATTTCAAAACAGAAATTTCAATATGTAGAAGAATGAATTTTTGTATTTATATAATATTTTTTCTATCTTTAAAGCAATATGAGTACATGAGAAGTCTGTACTTTAAAGACACTGCTATACAGGCTATTTTGGATACGTGTGTCAATGTTTATTTGTCCTTTAAAAATAAATGTTATTAAGTTTAAAAGATGGAAAAGAAATGACAGTAATGAGATTTGTGGACCTCAGGCACCTCAATGAAAAACCTTATTTTTTTTGCTATCATGTTTCTGGCTGGGTCTATAAATCATGTTGGAGACAAATTGTACTATATTCAAGATGCCCTTTCACCTTTAACTCACTACTAGTATTTGTCTTCTGTCAGATTTCAAAATATTTTAAAGATCTTGTTTTGAAGTGATAAATTTTAGTTTAATACTTTCAACTTACCACATATAAACGGTTTTCAGAGTTATTTTATCTGGAGGTAATAGGGAACCTGTGCTAATTAAAAATAACGGAATTCTGCATTTCTTGTTTTTAGTGATGGTGCATCATAGCAGGAAATAATCTGTTAATTTATGGGTAACTGACTGACCTAAGATCTCAATGACAATTGCTTATCAGCACAGTCCATTACCTGCTAAATCATGTATTAAAAAATATTTACATTATAAAGAGATGCTCCAATTTCTTATCTACGTAAATATTTTAAAATATGGCCTTACAGTGTTTCAGATTTGTACAAGACAGATATTTGGATGGAATTTTTTCTGTGCTTGTTTCACTACTCATCAAGAAACTTTTTCTTTAGACACTTAAATTGTTTCTTCACTTCTTGAAGTGAATATTCTTTTTTTTTTTTACAACAAGGGAATAGTTGTTGCTCAAGAGGAAGGAAAATACCAGGGAATATACTGGGGAGTATATATACTTATGAGCAACATAAGATTATGAGAAGTAAAAATTCTAGGCACATTTGTTTCTACTAGTGAATGGTACAAAACTAGGAATAGAGATAAAAGGAACAGTTTGTTAAACGTCAGATTTCATTCTCATATGGCATTTCAAAACGTGGCAGCACTGGACATGAGTCGTTTTTCTACTTTAAATTATCAAAACCTTGAAGTAGTGCATTATCCAGATTGTGTGAAAATCATCTTTCATGGCTTCTGTAAAATTGTTTTTATTTCATTCTTCACGACTTCACTGGATTATTGAAAATGCACAACAGAGAGAACAAACTTCTCTGAGAAAAAGAGAATGAGAACAAGCCTTGTAGATATAAACATTAGAAAAATGTTTATATCTCTATATATGAATGTATAAGGCTGTGTGAGCAGCTGCCTGATGATCTATAGATTATTCTAGTACCCTGTTGTCAGAAGTGGCTGAACATGAGTGCCAGGGGAAGAGGATAGCAAATGGACAAAGATACAGTGCTAATTCTCTCTTCACATCCAAGCATTTGCAGCTCAGGAACTTAGTGAGAGGAAGGACTTCTTGAGCTAAAAGTACTCAATGTGCCATTGTTTAGGAATATCAGAGGAAATCTTATGGAAGCTTTCTTAAACGTAATAAAAATAATATGAATGCAAAAGACGGCCTTGTGATTTAAGAAGCTACAGTTTTGTTTGGCCATATAAATATTCTTGTAGGTTGAGTACAAGTCTGCTTCTGGACTGTGTGTCTGTATTTCTGGTAGGGAGGCTCTGCATCCCCAGGCCTTTCTGTTGGAAGCCAATCCTGCTGTGAATGATCGGAAGCTGATTCAATCCATAGAAATGAATTCTGAGCGAAGGCCAGAGATGGTTGTGCAGCTGACTTATGCATGTCCACAGACCATAAATATACCATTTTGCTGTGATGCATTTGTGTTTGCTGTTGTTATTGTTCTTTGGTATCTGAGCCAGCGTGATGTATGACGGTGACACCGGGGTAGCAAAGTGTGCATCCAAATGGCCGGATTAGTTCCCCTCACGTCAGCACTGGAAATATGTTGCTGTCGAAATCAGAGCTCCTGGGTGCAAGGGAACATGCAGCAAAACCAGATGGTTTTAGACAGATTGGGAGGAATCACCGGGACGAATGCCACTTCTGTGGTTTTTGACTTGGTTCTATCTACAGATGCAAAGCTTTAAATCATAAATGGAGATGTAGATAAACCACTGTTCTAGAGAAAATGAGAGCTTAAATTTACAATTCATGATTTCTTACTATACAGAGGTTGAATTATAAGCTTGCTAACAATCACTTGCTTTGAAAGGATGTGATACTTTCCACAATAAACCTCTCTTAGATAGCTATATTCCTAGAGTCAAGAGCTTTCCAAAATGTCTGTTTCGTGTAAATTATTTTGAGTGTCATCATTCCAACTCTACGTATCCAACAAGAAATACAACTGATTCTAATACTGCTGCATGCAGAACCATGAAAGCTTACAACAAATCAGTCCTACGAGTGTTAATTGTATTGTTTGCCTGCATAGTTAGAATTTCCATATGAGCTGAGCACTCAAGGTTTGCCCATTCTACTAAGAAAATTCCTAGCTAACTCAATGAAGTTGAAAAAATGCACCTGGATTTACATAACTTAGTTTGTTATTCCCTTTTATCCTTAAAAAAATGTTTAGAAGCATTTTTTGTTGATTTCTGGGTACCACCATTAACAGTGCAGAGAGGGAACAGAGAGCTTCTCCATTTGGTCCTGCAGACTGGATTTTCTTTTAAAACAGGCAGCAGTAGTGCGTTACAGGGCAGAACATTTTTAGAAGGCATTTGAGAAGATTTTCTCAGCAATGCACAGAAAACGTAGTCAGAATGCAATCAAATTGCAATAAATTAAAAAATTTAATTAATCCGGTGCTCATCTTTGGATGGGACAGGCAGCTTTGTGGGACTGTGACTATCTGTGAGCTCCAGGGGAAATCAGGTGCCTTTTGCATTCAGAAGGGCATTTTATATCCAGGGTAGCACTAGAAAGTTTGCCATGCTGCAGTGCAAGCCCAACCCACTTTTAGGGATTAGAGCCTGACCTTTGAGAAGGATTAGAGAATCCAGAAATTAATAGAGGTCAGGAGGGATGGGTCATTTGAGAAGAGAATTAAAACAGGCAGGGACTGAATGATTTGTAGCTTTTTATAGAGTTAAAACCTATTTATTGATCGTATGCCTCTGATGCAGATATTTACTGGATTTACAGGCTTTAAAAAAAGAGGGGCCTGAATATCTGTACATAAAAAGGCTGGAAGAATGTACAAATTTTATTGTAACTGTTTTCTAGGTTCAAGATGTTTCCTTCCACAACCCTTTCTAATTTTTCTCTTAACTCAGTGTTTTAGGAAATGTCATTTGTGGAGAGCTTCACACAGTGATTCCTCAGCCACTCTTTCCAATGTTCTTCTGGGATGAAGCTTGCAAAGAGGGAAGGTGGAAGGTCTATCTGCAGGAGCCTTAAGGGTCAAGTGTGCTACAGCACAGTGGCACCACTGAGCTTTTCTAGTCCATCTCATGGACATACAGGGAGGAAAGAGAAAGCCAGAGGACACATTGCTAAGCTTAGTTTATATGTAAAACCCTCCAGCATAATTACTAGTGGGAAAAAAATATTCGTAGGGGTCTTTTTTCAAATTTTCACTGGATAAATTTTATTAGCTGCTCTTTTTCTACCTAAAGTAAACCACGGGAAAAATATGTGATCTACTAAATATTTTGCAACAACTTTTTGGGGGGATTGACCTGAATAATTGGTTTATGGCTTTACTGTTCCATTCTAAACTCT